GCATTCGTAGAAGATTGTCCTTTATCATACTTCGAGTCTGGAAACTTTAATCAAGTGCCTATTTTGCTAGGCTACACAGCACAAGAGTCAATTTTGTACTCGCTAGGTAATGATAAATGATAAACGTTAGACGAGATAGAAACTATTTCATCTTTTGCTTAGGTTGGTTATACGCAGTGGAATGATTTTTTACGCTCCTGAAAAAGTAAATAGAACATTTTATTATACAAATATTGGTTATTTGTCGTTTCGTACTTATTTTGAAGTAATTTAAGTTGAATACGCATTTTCTGAAGCTTGAATAACATTTTTTTTTGTTTCAAATCGCGTTCCTCAAAGACTTAATTCTTTGTAATAATTGAATCAATTTGCTAGTAAAGGGACTTCTTTTCTCTCTGATGGAGACTAATCATATTTTTGTCTATTATAGAATTGGATTTTGAACGACAGAGAATTCAAGCCAAGTTGCAGAGTGGTGCTGTGGTTGTAGATCCTGCAGGTCACAATCAGCTTTTTATAAATACAATGAGCTCTATTGTGAACGACACCGTTTCGGAAATGATAAAGGTGCTTCTACTGCCATTGTAATCTTAATCTATTCATTTTCATCGATACTGACGGTTTGTTATACTTAGGCTGCATCGTTATACGATTTTGCGGGTCCAATGGATCTCATGCAGAGGCTTTTGTCTAAGCACGATAAGAATTTACCTGTTTACTTCTATCGATTATCTTACAACACGCGATACAACTGGCATAAAGAAGTTAATCCTAACATAGGCGGTAATTACCTTTCATCCTTAGCATAAAACTACTTTTTTTTATGTCAGACATTTGTTACAACTTCAAGGTGTATTGTTTTAGGTACGTCTCACGCTGACGATCTTCCTATGACGTTCTACTATTCTCAGTATCCCAAAGATCCAAACCATCCAGTTAATGTTTACGCCAGGAAAGTCATTACATTGTGGACGAACTTCGTAAAACACGGGTAGGCGAACGTAAAATTTATTGATAATTTCTAGCAACTGCTACCGTGTAGGTAGTACAATTATTAGACTGAGGATGGCTAAGGAAATTTATGTTTTCACAGATATAGCAAAAGAAACGAATTTTGATTTAGAGTATTATTGCCAATTTTTTGTCATTGCTGTCGAAGGAAATTTCTGTAATAGTACTGCTTTACTCACGTCAAATGTTACGAGTGCCTGAACTTCACACAATGTTACAGACATCCTACTCCAGTTGGTTCCACTGTAAATGATACACATTGGGAAGAGTCGGGAAGACGGGGACTGCAACTGGACATGAGAAACAATAACTTCGTAATGGCGAATCGTTTCATCGTTGACCACGATGCGTTAGTTATAGAGAAATATTACGATGGTTTACCTGTTACATCCGAATGCAGGAATTATAAATTCACCACCTCGAGAGGTGTATTTAATTGACAATGGAACATGTTTCCAGCAGATACACCTAATGACTCTCGAGTATAAGACACAATGCTTTGTGGAAGTATTTTCATGTTTTCTTAACATTGTAAGTAGGTCCATTAAAAAGTATGGTGTTGCGCTGAGAATCAGTAGTAGATAGGTAGACTAGTATGCTCTTTTCTGAGATTATTTTGCATTGAAGTGCGTTTTGTATGAAAAGTCTTCTGTTTGTTGCAATGGTAATGAATGTGAGATTGTTTTATATTTTATATTTTGAATCAACATTTGAAAATTTAGTAGGTACAGTGCAAGTGTATTTTATATATGTCAGTGAAAATATACAATAATGAAACACTGTATCACATTGTTTATCTATAAACATCCTTCGTTTTCTTCTTTGAAAACTGATAATTTTATAGAGTAATGTAGTCATGATTTTTCTTTTATAATAACACTCAATGATAGATGACTTTTTTCGTCAGACTTTTAGAAGTAAAAATTGCGTGGAAGAACTTCTTAATCGCATTTAACCCATGTTACTTTTTTGGTGGGGATTATGAACCGATAACCCATAACCATCTTCAGCGAGCTGTGCATGAGAATTTAATTATGCTTTTCAGTATCCCTTGGGTCTGGTTTACATTTTACCCCCGTTTAAATAATCAATATCGATGTAATAACGTCGAAACGACCTTCTCGGCCCCACCATAACCGGAAGATTTCCATCAGGGTTCCCGTATACAGCGTTCAATAATAAAACGAATATCGAAACTTTTAATAAGCGGAAAGAGAAATCATGTTTTAAATTCAAACATTTTCTTGACTTAATCTCTTGGTTTCGTGGATATAATAATTTCTCGTTCATCAATAAGAAGCCATTATTCTTTGTGTTGGTTCTGTTATAACGATAAGAAGACTATACAGGAAATTTGTTGTATTATATACATATAAATACATATAAATTTTCCTTACTTTGTACGTAATTCATTCGGTTCGAATCTTATATTTATAGTATTAAGTAACCACTTTCAGGCATGAATGTAACATAGGGCTTTGATATTAATGTATAAAATTGAGTTAGATGTCCAAAGAATTCCCAACTTTTTGTTCATCTAACAAAATTGATTAAACAATATTATAATACTGTTCTATTATTAATTTCTTGTAATTTATTGAAAAATGTATCGTATATCATTTACAATCCTATTTATTTTCTTATAATATATATTCGAAAATAATAGAAATTATTTAAAGTTCTCAACATTGTGTTGTGGTATTATGATTTTATTTATGGAATTTAAATTTTATACCACTGCCAGTGTCACTGTCCACAATTTATCAGTAAGTTTTAATAACCGATGAGTGTCTAAATTCAATTAGTAATAAGATTAATGTTCTTAGACAATAACGTTAAAAAATACGTTAGTTTTCCATTATTTACTTCAAATCACTTCATATAAGTAATGAAATGAAGAACAATATTTTCAATACACTATTATTATTTGTGTATGATTATCTGTGGCTAATAAAAATATAAAATTCTATAAAAAATCGTGTAATTTAACAAACTGCAAAGAGTTTTTCTTGGTCATTCCATAACTCAAAAAGTAAGAAAAATGGTCTTGGATCTATCTGCAAATAGTCAGATTGCATAGAGTGCAAAAGGGTTAAGTTGAGTAATCACAGAATACTACACAGAATACTCCATCTCTTTATTTTTCATACTTTGCACGTACCATTTTTTTTAATATCTTGGTCTTCATCTACAACTTTCATAATTGATCTTCTAGTAATCCACTGTTTCCCATCAACTAATGCTCGTCTTATACGTACGGTGGGTGTAGAAAGTATTCATACACCGATCAATTTCCAAAAACACTATGTAAAATTGTAATTTATTAACTTATTTTTTATAAACAATGACATTCTACATATTCTCGGAAAACTCTAGAATAGATAGATTACAAAAAGAATAGCTATTTATGTAAGTTGGAAAATTAACAAGAAAAAAACAATTAATCGATAGAAATGTTGAAGCAATCAGTATTCGCACAACTGTTTAATTGTTAAAATTTCATTAAAACAAAAAGAAATTTACATTAATTTACAAGTATATAATACTTCCTTCGTGGGATTTTTTTTTGATTTTATTAGGTTGTCCCAAAAGTTTCTTTCGCTTTATTAATAAGTAATACATGCACAATATTTTATGTTTTATGTTACATTACTGAATTGTGCACGCTTCATTTTGCTCCATTACTGTTACAACATGAATATCTATGAAATTAGATCTATTTATATAAACACGACCACATAAAATAATTGAGTGCAATTCGCGAAAGAAACTTTCGGGGCTACCTAATATAATTATTGTAACTCTTCTAAGCATTAAATTAACTAAATTATTAGTTATTCGAAGTGGAATCTTCCATTCCTCTATTAGAGCCATTTTTAAAAGTACTTTATTGTAAATTTGATGTTTTCTAATTCGTACAGAGCAATAAACTAACGTGTTTACGTTACAAACTCTACTATAAATGTTTCGTCATACGAATCGTACAAATACTTATTGCTTCTATACTTTTACCCACTTTTCGCATTTTTTTTGTTAATTTCACACATTGTATTAACTAGTAAACTAGTAAATGTTGTTTGAACTATATCTATCTTAGAGATTTCCGAGAATATGTAAAATATCATTGATTATAAAAAAAGAAGTTAGGAAACTACAACTTCACACAAAAGTTTTTTAGAAAATTGATCAGTGTACGAATACATTGTACACCCATTGTAGATAAAACTGTACTGAAGGATACCTAGAGAGAAACACACCTCGACTGTCTCAATTACGTTTCAGAGATGTACTCCTGTGCTTTCTTTCGTAACCAGCAGCTTTTCCTCCCCGGAAAATACTAATCTCGAGGTCACGCGAGATTATGGGTGACACGCGAATGGCCCCCGTTGGTGTCCAAAATTTTCCCGAGCCCTCCCCTGCATGGAGATTGAAGCAATATTTCCCCCGAAAAGGCGCGAGAAAAACAAAATGAAACGTTGGAATTGCGAACCAGGCTGAGTTCCCATATGGTCGGATAAGCGACGCCAAGGCGTAATAACGTTGAGTCGAGTTTGGCCGGGTCCGGGCGTCGTTGTTCACCGTAAAAATTAATTCTATCCACCTTTCTAAGTATTCTATTCGCTCTTTGTCTAGCCCCTCGCCTAACAGAGGACCGTGAATCACATTCGCGGGGCCGGAATTCTGAATTATTAAATTCCACGGCGTAATTCCCTTGAAGAAATTAAAACCGTAGCTTTCTCCTTGTTTCTGCTCGGTTTCTCGTAACGTATAAAAAAAAAAGAAAAAAAAAAAAGAACAAGAAAGAAACGATCAACGTTGGAATTCTAACAATGCTCGTGTATTTTTTAATACCGAGTTCCACTTTAGCCGCGAAGTTCCCCGCGGTCTACTTAAAAGAATACCTTTACCACGTCAAAGCTGCGCGCGTGCTCGCCGCGTTAAATAGTTAGCAACACATATTACCCGGTTTAAC